AACGGGTTAACGTTTCGACGAGCCCGAAATAACACCCTTAAGGCCAAGGGCCATCGCCAAAAAGATGAGTCCGACCTTGATCGAATAACGACGGGTTAACATTTCGACAAGTCCGAAATAACACCCTTAAGGCCAAGGGCCATCGCCAAAAAGAAGAGTCCGACCTCGATCGAACAACGGCAGGTTAACATTTTGACAAGTTCGAAATAACACCCTTAAGGCCAAGGGCCATCGCCAAATGAGGAGTTCGACCTCGATCGAACAACGACGGGTTAACATTTTGACAAGTTCGAAATAACACCCTTAAGGCCAAGGGCCATCGCCAAAAGAGGAGTTCGATCTCGATCGAACAATTACGGATTAATATTTTGACAAGTTCGAAATAACACCCGTAAGGCCAAAGGCCATCGCCAAAGAGAAGAGTTCGACTTCGATCGAACAACGACGGGTTAGCATTTTGAAAAGTTCTAAATAACACCCTTAAGGCCAAGAGCAATCTCCAAAGAGGACTGGGACTCGCGACGGGTTAGAGAAAAGATCTCGACACCACTCGAACTGCAACGGGATAATGCTTCGACACAAGTTCGAAAATATCATCCATACAGCTAAAGCCGGTCATCAAAATCCTACTCAATCCGTGTGATATTGAATTCCCTGAGAATAAGGAATTCACCACGCGGAAATCTACTTCTTTGCGCCAGAATTATGAAAAGCAAAAAGAAGAACAGAAGGCATACAACAATGAAAAATTCCTCTTTATACAAAGCTACTGCGCAAACAGTCGTAGATTACATACGGCTAAAACTGACGGAATCCAAGAAACAACAAATAAAAAAAATAAAAAAACAACAGAAACAACAATTCTTTCACTCGGCACCATCACCGCCGTCCTCTTCATCACCCTCTCCAGGAAGTCCTCCGTCATCAACACCTTCGTCGGCCTCCGGCGTTGCAGGATCATATCCGTAGTTAACAGGAGCCTCTCGTGCCTTCGCCCATGCTCCTTCATATGCAGCCTCGAAAATATTGCCCGCCTCCCACAAACTCTTATATATGTCCCGTTGGGCCTCAGCATGAACCCAGAGCTCATGCAAATGACGGGGAACGGCGGCAGAGGAAGATTCGACTTGAGCCAACAGTTGCTCCTTTTTCAGCCCCAAGAGCAGCGACCCGATCCCAAAGGTCGACGCTTCCCGGTCGATCTCACCAATACGCTCCTCGAATCTCGCTTCCCTTAGCGTGGCCGTCGCCCTTTCTAATTCCTGCTCGGATTGGAGGATGCACATAGCGTTCTCTAGAGTCGTCGCCCTCGCCAAAGCCGCCGACCAGGCGCTCTCGGTATTCTCCAGTCCGACGACCTTTCTCTCCAGCTCGGCCAATTTTCCCATCCATTCCGCGCTCATCATCTCGACCCTGATGGCATTCTGATCCATCTCAGACCGCATCGACCGCAACCTCGCTTGAAGTTGCTCACACTCTGCGGCAACTCCCTTGCCCACCTCGAGTTCTTCGTCCTTTACACAAAGTTTCTCCTCAAGCTCGCTACTCCTGCGAATAGCCTGCATCAGCTCCTGATCCCTCTTCTCCAGTTCCTCACCAAGGGATCGATCAGCTGCATTCACCCTCAGCCGCTCGTGCATCTCACGACACTTGTTGTGGTAGCACCGATATTTCTCCAACATCGTCGGAAAAATCTTGGCCCGAGTGTCGGCCCTACGAGCACTCTCAATCTCCACCATGTATGTTTGAAAAATGAAGAAACTGATTAAGGCCAAGGCCGACAAGGATGAAAAGAGCACACAATAGGGAAGAGAACTTACCCTCAGGCCCATAGCGACCACCTCGTGCATCAAATCGATATCACGGACGTCCCGCAGAGCTTCATTCTCGGCGGTAGAACACAGGAGGTCAAACTGACCAGGTCTCCTGTATCCCCCAGGAGGTTAATATTCGACGGGATTTCAAGTATACAGGACGGGCCTCCCGCATGTACCACCGTACGGGTAAAGCCCTCTTCTAACATCCTGACATCACCAGGATCAAAATCGGACTCAGATTCGCAGTCATCAACCATGACGCTTTTTCCCCTCTCTGTGGACAAAGAAGAAGCACGACCCGGTCCAGATTATGAAGGCCCGCCCAAAGTGACAACAGCGGCCTCGGGACTCTGATTCCTTGTTGAAGGAGTTTGATCGTCATTCATGACGGCCAGAATCTCTACCGACGGATTGGCCACTGTTACAGGCTCTATCTCTGCAGACAGATTAACTCCGTCTCCCGACTCCATCGAGGGAAGACCACCTTCTAAACGTACCATGGCTGAAGGAGTCATTTTAGACTCCATTCGCTGCCTCTTTGATGGCCCCTCCCCGTCCTGAACACGGGAAGATTCCCCCGTTGGGTAAGCGATAGAGGTCGGAATCTCGGATCGAGAAGCAGCCTCCATGCGCGTGGCTACGGCCGTAGACTCAACTGAAGCGGCCCTCGATGAAGGTCGGGTAGTAGATCCTGAGACAGGGCGAGCAGACGATGTAGGCTGGCGAAATACGAGTGGAGGATCCCTCGCCCTCCGCACTCTCCCTGACATCGACGAAAGTGTATAAGCGACAAAATCAAATAATGGAACGAAAAACGAAACTGACATTACTTACCGGTAAGAGGCTTGCGTCCATATTTCTCATAGAAGGACGACCATGCGCGCACCCCCCCCCCCCTATGAGGAAGGATGACATTCACCCACTCGCGAATAATCGTCAACAGGAGCGGGGGGTAGTCTCGTGGCTGCAAAAACAAAAACAATGTAAGTACCGCCCAAAGAAAATTGGTCGACCATCGCTACGAGTAAAGGTATAGAAACTTACGTGCGAAGTTCCACTTCTCGGGGAACCCTGCAGGATCCGTCACAAGGTGCTGTGTCCGCACATAGAAATAGTTCTCATAGAAACGACGGTTGGCTCTGTCGTCCATCTTCACCACCAAAACTCTTCGTCCCTCGGTGGCGCATGTGAACCATCATACCACGAATGAGTTGAGGAGCAAAGAGATTGAGCATGTGTCTCAACATGGCCTCCCGACCGGCAAGCTCCACGAACTTGAGCAGCATAAGGAACAATTTATACAAGTACGAGGAAAGTTGAGCCGCGCACACCTCGTAGAAACGCCAAACATCTACCACTAAGGGAGGGAGATGAAGCGTATACCTGACAATAAAGGGATAAGCATAGAACGCACAATATCCTGAGCGATCGAAATGTATAATGTCATCTCCCACTGCCGTCAGCATTTCGACGTGGTGAGGAATCCCCCATCTGGCCTTCAACTCTGCAATCCCCTCCTCAGTCATAACAGAGGAAGCAGGTTCCGGCTCCTCCCCGGTAGGACTGTGGAAATCGTTCCATGGCTTACCAAGGCGAGGCAAGATTTCAGCCGCCGACGGAATCCCCTCATCTTCCACTATTTCTACCCTCCAGGGGCAGGAATATCATTTTCCGGTGCCGGAGTTGCGGCAGGATCGTCAGCACGGGAAGAATTACCAGCCATTTGTATCAATTTAACAGGACAAAGGGATGGAGGAAAAAAGAGAGACTGAGACGAAAGTTTTCGGCAAAACGGAGAAAATAAAAAACCCGAAGTATCATAAAAAAGGAAGATTCACAAAGTTCTTTCAACAAGGGCAAGAAAGTTTGTCAATCGAATAATGCTTTCCTTCTATTTTATAGGAAACAAATCCCCCAAGCGCGAAACCTAAGGGTCGCCAATAGAAGCTGATAGGGCACGAAACGGTTCAATCCCCTGGGAACGTGTGTCATAATTGCAGCAAACACGAACGACGTTTCGAGTTAAACGACGCTTTGATTCCATAACGGTCGCAACGGTCCAAGAGTACCATAGGAGCTGCGCCCTTATCTCGATCTACAAATCACGCTAAGGCGCGGACAGTCAGATTTCTCCCAGATGTGTAAATTTATAATCCGTCCGCCAGGTCCGACAAGAGACGACCCTGACGAACGGAGGGACTAACTGCATTGGTCAAAATCTGACTGTTGCGGTCGACCTAACTTGGATCCCGCCTAAGCGACAGGATCGTGAGAAACGTCACGACCTGCTCCAAACCAAGAATCTACAGTACATATTAAGTTGAAAAGCAATTTTCAGGTAACGACGAAAACAGTCGTGGTACGAAGGCGCATCGACCCAAGAATATGGCAAGGACTCCAGGACTATCTATAAAAGAGGGAATCACCCAATCAAAAAAGAGTTTTTTTTTGGGAGACTGTCTCTCTTTCTCTCTCCTCTCTTCTAAAACTTTCTTAGAGCAAAGGAAAGGATGCAAGTTAATCATCCTGACTACACCGTGTAGATTGTTCATCCCCATTGTATAAAAATAGGAGGAAATGAAAAATATCTATAAGATTGATCGCCATTATTTTATCTAACTGATAGCTCTCTGATTTATTATTAGATCTGGAGTTTATAATGTTTGACTAAGATTTACCTCTTCATCTTCATTGATTGATTTAATAAAAAAGGTTTCCACATCTTTTGGTCAAACATAAGGCTTGTTAACTTATATACTCAGCATCCCTCTTGTGTTTTTGTCGATGTGGAAATCTGTCCAAAGACAGGGGTGTTACAAGTTAAGCCCTATTTGTATTATTCAAGTGTAAAATGTCATTTCTTTTAGAAAGCTCTCACCTCTTGTTATCAATTTATTCCACGTATAATTTCTAAAATTTAATGCTTTTACTTTTCTCCCTCCAACATACATCACAACATTATATAACTCGTGTTTGGCTCCAACTGCAACTGTTTTAGTGTTTTTATGGTATAGAAAAATAACGAGTCCATATAACCCAAAAAAAGAAAAAAGAAAAAAAAAACGTAGCGGTCGTAGCATTCCAAATTGTACGCCAAATACTGCTCTTCAGTCAGTCTCTTCCCTTCAAAGCCTTCAACTAGAAAAAAAAAGTGTCTTTTGACCACGACAAGTGTGTTACAGTTATAGAAAGAGAAAAGTTCTGTGCTTTTGCCGGCCCCTCTTTCTCTCTCCCTATCTATCTGTTTCTTGTTTTTATTTTTATTTTATATAATTTTAAAATTCTGTTGTTTTTATTCTTATCTTCAGCTTATTTTCACATAATAAGCGTGTTGAACAGTCAACTGCAGCCTAGCAGCTTTAATTTTCTTTTAAAAAGCAAAGACCATATTTTGATGGTTTCCTCAGAAGCTACCCATAGAGATTGTGAAGATCAAAGCCGTCTGATCAGCTGTTGAGGGGCTTTGGGTTTTTCATTCTTTTGGTTCTGTACAAGGTATTATAGAATCTTGAATTTCATAATTGAATTGTTAGAAAAGTTGGGTTTAGAATAATTGAATTGTGTAGAAAGTTGGAGTTGTTATGGTTCTTTAGTTATTATATGAAGTATTTATAAAGAGTGGATTCTTGGTATTTGATAATTCTTTTATGGAGTGGTAGTTTGTGCCAAAAGTTGGAGTCTTTTGGTGTTGTAGTTACTGATCAAGAATTTATAAGGATTGGGTTTATTGGGTATTTGATAGTAGCTTTTATGGAGTTGTAATTTGTGCAAAAAGTTGGAGTCTTTTGGTGTTGTAGTTACTGATCAAGAATTTATAAGGATTGGTTTGTGTATTTGATAGTTGTTCATGGAGTCGTAGTTTTTGCAAGATTGGACTGGATATTTGGAAGTTTATTTGAGTAGCTGTTTACTGGTTGAGATTTTTTGAGCTTTGGTTCCATGGTTCTTGGGGAAAGATCGAATTTTGCAAAGCCTAGTGTCTGGGGTTGGTAATTTGCAACTGCAGAGGAAGGTTTTTGGTTGGGTTGATTATGGGTTGTGTTTGTGGAAAACCTTCCCCGTCTGCCAAAGATAGGCGGGGTGGACAAAAGAAGAGAGATTTTACGAAAGGGGCAAACGTGGCATCACGCGCACCACGAGCTGTTTCTTCAAGGAGAGAGGAGAGTTTCAGGGTGAAAGACATGTTGGAAAATGGTGATGTGAAGCTTGGTTTAATAGATAGGAAGAATAATGGATCAAGAAAGGTGAGGGATGATCATTACGAGCAGATAAAGGAAAAGCTTGGACTGATTGTGAATGGTGGTCCTGGATATGGAGTCGTCCCAAAAGCGTTGGAAGGGGAACTGGTTGCTGTAGGATGGCCTTCTTGGCTTGCTGCAGTTGCAGGTGAAGCTATTAATGGATGGCTTCCTCGCAAGGCCGATACGTTCGAGAAATTAGACAAGGTACAATTCTGTAGACATTCTTTATGACTGTTTAATTTGTCAATTAGATTGGACGGAAACCAAAATCGTGTTTGATTGGCCTTAATTATTAGACAATCGTAATATCTAATAGAATACACATGCTAACCACAATGTTTTGATTTAGATGGTTTAAATTACATTTATTTTTAATGCCTGTGGCGATATTTCCCTTCCTTTTCTATTTCCTTTAAGATAGGTAGTTTCTTTTCCAATGTGTTTAAAAGTTGTTGTTTGAGTTTTTTGGTTTATTGTGTGACAGCTTCTTGTTCTTGCAGATTGGCCAAGGGACATATAGTAGTGTATACAAGGCTCGTGATCTAGTTAACAATAAAGTTGTTGCACTCAAAAGAGTGAGGTTCGATAATATGGATCCTGAAAGTGTCAAATTTATGGCAAGAGAGATAGTAATTTTGCGTAGGCTTGATCATCCGAATATTATCAAATTGGAAGGCTTGGTTACATCAAGATCATCTTGCAGTTTGTACCTCGTTTTTGAGTATATGGAACATGATCTTACTGGACTGGCATCTGTTCCTGATATCAAATTTACAGAATCACAGGTGCTTTTCCAGGGATCCTTTATGCTGTTTCCGTAATTTAACACGAATGAATTAGCTATGTCAGCTTTTCAATCAATTTAGAAAACTAGTTTCTGACTTTATTTTATCTTTCATAGATGAAATGCTATATGCAGCAACTTCTTAGTGGACTTGATCATTGCCATAGTCGGGGTGTTTTGCATCGGGACATCAAAGGTTCAAATCTTCTAATCGACAATCACGGCATCTTGAAAATTGCAGATTTTGGCTTAGCAACCTTCTTTGATCATAAGCAAAGTGTTCCATTGACAAGCCGTGTTGTGACTCTTTGGTATCGACCACCCGAGCTCTTACTTGGAGCAAGTCATTATGGAGTCGCGGTAGATTTATGGAGTAGTGGTTGCATACTTGGAGAATTATATGCCGGCAAGCCCATCATGCCCGGTAGAACAGAGGTATATACTAAAGTATTAATATATTTTCTTTTTCTTATTTTTACTTGTGCATGATACTTGCGCTATCTTCTTGTTTATGACTCCATTTTGGAAATGTTACTGCAATTTGTAAAGCAAATAAGCATCTAGGTATTTAAAATGAAGTAGGTGGGGGCCACAAGCGGGAGGCAAGACTGGTATCAGTACTAAATTTTAGGTCATACCTGGTTTGTCTATCGTGGCTAGTGAACTTGTGATTTTCCAATTAGATTAAAAAGGTTTAAATTGACCTTTGCTGAGTTAGTGACCTGTTATTTAGCTCTAATGACGTTTCTTGTTTTAAAAGCAAAGATGGATCCAAATAGAAAAGTTTGGGGGTACTGAAAATGGAAAGGTTGTAATTCAGAATTGAGCACCACTTCCTGAAATAATACCTGTATATAACAACTCATAACCTATTATTAGATTGGCCTGTATGATTTGAGTCTTCTATTTCGCCTTTTATATTTCTCTTCTCCGTTTTCATCTTGATTTTTCCAAAAAGGGGCTGTAAGAGTCACAGTATGTGTTAGCATCTTTACGGTTGTTCCCCACTGTGTATTAAATTTTCTTGTGTTTTGGTGATTGGTAGTGGGGCTTCGAGAGAGCTTTTGAAGCTGCAATTTTGACATTTCTTTATGTGCAATTACCTAAATTTCATGATGTATTTTGCTTTTTTAGGTTCTTAAATGTTCTTCTTCATCGACTGAAATTTTTTCTCATTTCCTTCTTAAGTGACTTATGCCTGATTAATTTACCCATGTGTTTTTCTGCTGTGTGAGGACATATTTTTACATCTTAGATATACGAATTGCTTCCTCCTTGTAGGTAGAGCAGCTGCATAAGATTTTTAAGCTTTGTGGTTCACCATCTGAGGATTACTGGAAAAAAGAAAAATTACATCATTCAACAGCATTTAAACCGATACATCCTTACAGACGGCGTATTGGGGAAACATTTAAGGATCTTCCTCCATCTGCTGTGAGGTTACTGGACACATTACTTTCTATAGATCCTGAACTTAGGGGAACAGCTGGCGGTGCTCTTGAGAGCGAGGTATGTTTTTCTTCCTCCCTGATGTTTCTTTGTCCCTCTGTTTATACCATCGATCATAGTTTTGGTGATCTGTAGTTTAGTCTATCAACAAATATTCTATCAAAAGTGAAGACTGAATCCTGCATGCTATGAATGTGATTTTTGGGTGATATCTATTCTATAAAGCACAATATAGTATTCGTGATGATAGTTGCTTTCAAAATTGTAATCTGATGAGGATGCACTAGGTGATATCTCAACATATCTGTTTATATGTATATATAAACAAATACTGCTTCAGTCTCATTTTATGTGAAGGATGGAGTTTAAGAAGTAAGAAACACTTTTGACACACAAGCTAAATACATGCATATTAATTATTGAGAGTTGGTAATAGTTCCAAGTGTCCCTTCATCTTTCTCTGTCATAGGACTTTCCAACCAGTCTTGTTAGTAAGGTAAAATAATAGGGATAGCATGATTAGATGTTTCCAAAAATAGAAAAATGTCAATCTTTTTGGGACAGACTTAAAAAGGAATGTCAAATAAAATGGGATGCATAGAGTAAATAATACATATAGAAATAAAATAATAAATTTGGATTTAAGCGGCGGTCGGCCTTACTAAAGAGTATTACTGAGCATCTTTCAACTGATTACTAAGTCCCAGTTATTGTGGACCTAGAGAAACACGTGCAGTCAAAACCTTTTTTCTCCTTCTGCAGTAAATAGTGCTCCGTGATCCATGTCAATTATATTATTGATGCCTCTCCACTTCAGTGACTATCTCTATCTTTATATTTTGGCATATTGGTTCTTACTAGCAAGTTTGGTGGAGTGGTGGATATGATTAATTTATGGAGTGTTGCTATCTTTAGAAAGCTGTCTTTATGTATTGGATAACCTTTAATACTTTCAAATCTATAATACTTCCAAATCTACAGAAGAAGTATCCTTCACAGTAAACTTTGTGAGGTTATGCCGTAAAACTGAAATTTACCTATAAAAAAAATGAAATTTGAAATAAGTAGTGATGTAGCTCCTGGTAGCTGGAGGCTTATTGTTTCATTTTAAGTGATGCTCCGCAATAATTGTTTCATTTTATCCGTCGAAGTCATTCAATGTGCATTTCATTTCTTCAAGGTGCATATCGTTTATTATGGCTTAATAAAGTTGCACGACCGATTTTCCTAATTAACAAAGTTTTCCTCCTACAGTTCTTCACCACAAAGCCCATGCCTTGTGATCCTTCAAGTTTGCCGAAGTACCCTCCCAGTAAGGAAATTGATGCAAAACTGAGGGAAGAGGAAGCTCGAAGGTAAATAGTTTTAAGATACCTTTCCTGTTGAGGAACTAGAACTATCTTTTTTTTTTTTTACGTAACTTTGGCCTTCTTATTGTGCGCGAAAACGTTTTTCGATTCTATCAGGAAGCTTCTTCGTTCTTTTGAACAATCTTTTGATGTCTGCAACAGTCGTTTTGTCTAGTGGCGCTTCTGTAGTTGCTTTCATAGCTGGCTTGCACTGAGAAATTTTAGTTTGTTTATCCAATTACGTTATTTCTTAGAGATTTAACATTTGTATGACACAACATTTTCCTTTTTTAAGTATCAAGGGATATGTAATAAATTATAATATTTGTCTGAATTGTTTTCTGCAGGCAAGGAGCTGCAGGAGTTAAGAGCCAAGTTGGTGATGGGCATACAAGAGGATCGAAAGAAGTTCGAGTTGTTCCAGCACCTGATGCTAATGCCGAGTTGGCTAGGTCAATGCAGGTATTTAAGTATGGCTTAATTGTTTACTCCCTCCGTTTCATATTGTTTGAGCTAGTTTGACTCGGCACGGAGTTTAAGAAAAAAGAAGAAGACTTTTGAAACTTGTGGTCTTAAAAGAAGAAGGGGTAAAAGGTTTGTGGGGCCATGCCATTTGTGTGGCTATAAAAACTTCTCATTAAGGGCAAAAAGGGTAAAATGAAGAGTTTAAAGTTGAATTATTTCCAAATTTAGAAATGTGTCACTTATTTTGGAACAGACTAAAAGGGAAAGTAGCTCATTTAATATGAAACGGAGGGAGTAGTATTAAACTTGATTCACATGTTTACCTAATACAAGATGCTAAAGACCAAAAGAAACCAGATAACAATCCTTCAATTTATCATCTTGTAACTCCAAGAGGTTAGTTAAATTGTAATGGTTCTGCCGTGAATTAGGAAGTCCCAACACCTGACAGCCAAGCTTAAAAATCACCATAGAAATTTGGAGCGGAATGAATATTGAGGATTCATACAGCCGACTCCAATTAGTGAGATTAGAGCCATGGCAATTGTTGTTGTGGAAGATGAAATGCACAAGTTTTATTTCAACCAAAAGTTTGGAAATATCTAATTTGTGGCAGTTGTCTCAGAGCCTACGAAGTTTTCCTCTGGTGGAAGCTTGGTGTCATTAAAATGAAACTAATTAGAGATTATCTTCACCAGTACATTTGGAATGCATTTTTTATACTTCTTTTACAGTATCCCACCATACTTGTGTGTAAGAATGGTTTTACTCGAGTTGTCAATCTATATGATTCATACACTGTTTGGTTCATGTCAAGTAATACTCGTACCTTGAAATAGAGGAGGCAGAGCAGTTCAAATCCTAAGAGCCAATCTGAGCAGTTCAATCGCCATAAGGGAGCTTCTTCTGGTTTTCCCAACAATCCACATAGACCATCACAACCAAGCGAAGAAAGAGGCAGAGATCACTTGGAGAATCTTTCGCAGAGATTTTCTCATTCCGGACCTCTAGCTCCAGGATTTGGGTGGGCAAAATCTGGGAAGAAATATGATCATGATATTTCTGTTGGTTCCAATAGACCCGACTTATCGAAGTTATCCAGTTTAGTAGCATCTCGGTCAGTTGTGGGCCTTGTGGCCGGTGATGCCCGAGATCGATTTGCTGTTTCACATCTGGAATCTGCCCATCAAATAGAAAGGCCAGTACGTTTGCTTAATGAACACCCAAGGAAGCAGGATCAGAAGCGTCACATGCAAAACCCTGCTGGTTCTCGTCAATTTGACAATGGAAGGTCCAGCGTCAAAGAATCAAATCTGGTAAGTCTTATAAGCATCATAACTAATAAAAAAAGGAGTTCGTACAACTTTAATGACCTTAAAGGACTTGAATTCTGAGTGCGTAGACAGGAATTAAGATAATTATCGCCATATTTTGTGAAGGTGCTGAAACTTCATATCCCTCAAGTATAGTTAAACTTATATATATACGGTGAAGTTAAAAATGTTTGCATAAGTAAATCCCCTTACATTGTGATAGTTAACAATTATAAAGTCTTTCTTCACTTGGATCCGTATTCTTGAGCCGTGGGTCTATCGGAAACAACCTCTCTACCCCTGGGGGCTGCGTACACACTACCCTCCGCACCCTCCCCGAACCCCACTTGTGGGATTATACTGGATTGTTCTTATTGTTCACTTGGATCTGTCATCTAATCTAAGTTGCTCGGACTCTGGTGCGGGTATCTGATACAGGGACGGATCCGAGTATCGGATTCGGCAAAATCTAAATTTTAAGATTCGGGGGTGCGGACCCGGATATGGATAGGGGCGCGGGGATTCGGCTAATAATAAATAGAGCTATAGAAATATTGTAAATTTTGAGAGATATTCTGTGAAAAACTTACATGAATATTGTAGAATTCAATCTTTCATTCTCCAAGATGGACATTATTCTTTCATTCTCCTAAATCTGTTTTATTTTCGCTTTTGAGAAATCAAAATCTCAATTTTCTCCCAAATTTGTCGATGGACTCCGGTCAAAGTGTCCGAAGTCAGTTGACCGTATCCGGGACGTATCCCGCTCCCGTCCCCGTCTCGTATCGGGACGGGGACGGCACCAAAATCGAAGAGTCCGCGCAACTTAGCATCTAATGCAACAGCCCTGCAGTCAGTAAATAGCTTTTTGGTTTCTTTCTTGTAGTATGAATTTAATTCTAGTATGATGGGATTCTTATCTAAATCTTTTTGTTTTATGAAGCATGGACATGGTCACAAGGCAAACCAAATCCATTTTTCTGGTCCACTACTTGTTCAACCTAATAAAGTGGATCAAATGCTGAAAGAGCACGATCGTCGTATCCAGGAAGCTGCACGACGAGCAAGGCTCGAGAAGGCAAGAGCAGGTAAAGGTCAAACTCAAGCTCAAGGAATGCAGAGGACCAACAATTCTATTTATGTCACTAGCGTGGGATCGCGGTAGACTGGGAAAAATTATATATAGTCCTTTGTACAGTTCTTCTGGAAATAATTGTTATTAATAGGAATATAGACGATAAATTTATGTGGTCTGCTAGAGTAGGCAAACATATTTATGTACACAATTTGTTTTACCGTCATTGCCTCAATTAAATCAACCCGAAGTTTCTTCAGTGGTAGGAAATTTACAAATCATCATTGAAGAATATTAATTGACGAAACCAACATTCTGAAAACGTACACGGATTATGCTAGCTACATTAGTAAACAAGTTTACTAAGCACCCGTGGTCTAGTGGTAGAATAGTACCCTGCCACGGTACAGACCTCGGTTCGATTCCTGGCTGGTGCATGCCATTCTTTGCGGGGATAGCTCAGTTGGGAGAGCGTCAGACTGAAGATCTGAAGGTCGCGTGTTCGATCCACGCTCACCGCATTTCTTTTTCCTTTCTTCTTATATATAGTTTTTAGTTTCTTTACTTAAAATGGACATGTTATTTTCCCGTTATTATTAATGATATTCAATCAATCATCTACAAGTTTTCTAAGTTTTGAAGGGGTTCTATTCTTGGTTAGTGTTAGGGGCCGGACTCTTTGACATCGGGTGTGGCGCGGTTGTGGCAAGGTTTGGGCGTGATGGCCTTGCCATTGGTCTATGTGCGGGCAAAACGATCATGCGGACAATGGACAAAACAATGTCATGTGGGCTGTTGGGGGCAAGTATTGGCCAAGGTCTTGGGGCAGGCAAGACATGCTTGGCAAAGGCTTGACAAGGCAGCGTGGGCAAAGTTGGGGCGGCATGGCACGGCATGCGCGCCAAAGTTAGTGGCATGGGCACTCCAGGTTGTCGTAGCGCCAAGTGCGGGCTAAGCTAAAGTACGGCAGAGCGGGATTATGTCAAAGGCTTTCAATAGCTAAGGCAAGGCTATGTGAAGGAAAATACAAGTAATGGCATGGGCGAAACAAGGGTTGACATGGGCAAGGCAGCTGAAACTCGGCCAAGGCGTGTGCGGGCGGCAGTGGCGTCGGGCGTGTGCGGCAAAATCATGAGCGGCGGATTGCGGACAAGGCATTGGTGCGGAGAAATGTCAAAATGAGCCAAGGCTGGGCGCAATGCTAGTCTTGGGCGTGCATCAGCTGACCAAGTCAAAGGGCACATGCAGTGCACATGCCAAAGCAGTTGGCGGTTTCCTTTTGGTAACCACCTTTACCCATGTCTGATTTTTGCTTGTATCTACTATCATTTCGTGTAGAACATGGCTAGGTAGTTGGGGATGTCAAATACAAGATAGGAACTGACTTAGTCTTAGCCCGACAAGTGGCAAAAGCTGTAGACAACAAGTGTCCATATGCTGTCAAGTCCTAAGGCTACCTATGTGCTATAAATAGGTGCCTTTGGACTTAGATTGTGTATGGAATTTCGTGTGAAGTTTAAGTGGGAAACAAGAGTGAAACGTGAGGGTTTCTAAGTGTTTCAAAAGGGACTAAGGCTAGGCATTGGGCAGGTCTTTGTGTTGGCTAAAGAACGACTTGTGTTCTTTGTCAAAAGTGTGGCTGTGGTCAACTTGTGGTCATAGTCAAGTGAGGGTTCCTTTGTAAGTTTTTGAAATTAATGCAAAGGTTGAGATTTTCCCGTATTTGATTGTGTTCTTTTCAATTTGCTGCCAAAATTTGTTTAAGGCCAAACTTGCTGAAAATTTGGTTAAGTGTTGGGAAATGCTGAATTAAGTGCGCGGGAGTCAAGTACGCAACTTGACTGCCGCGCGGGTGTGACTTTGGACTGACCAAAAACGCCCCGTGACAGTTAGCCTCTTAGATCCAAAATGTAAATTTTAGATGGAATCTCAAAGAATCTCTATAAAGGCCAAAAAAATTATAATCTTTAACGTCGTTATACTTTATATACGTAATGAAGATAAGATCTAAGTGTTATCCACTCAGCATTAGTTACCTAATCCTAATTAACAAGCCTTTAATAATCCAAACTGGTACTTGGACCACTTAGCAGAGTGACTAGTATGTCATAATGCTACTTGCCTTTCTGGTGTAAAGAGTTCAAAAAGGAGTGGATAATTCTAGAGAAAAAGTGCACTTACCCAAAAAGATATTTTATCATAGGGTAAAGGTCTAACACGTAATGTAAAGAATTTTAGAGTATAAGTGTTTTAATCAGTTATAACATATTATTTACTACATTTCATGTTACCAAATTGTGATAACTTAAATAATTACTTATCGTTTTTGGTCATCTTAACTTGACAGTGTAGAAAAAAGTACACTGCATAGAAATTAAACACATTTCCTATCTGTATTGAGGGAAATGTTTCATCATAGGGAAACCTTATCTGGCTTCAATGTTGACATAATGAGGCTACACATAGACTTAAGAGCGACAAATATAATTAAATTTGTTCGGTTGCATCTTATTCCACGGGAGCGGAGCTACGGTGGCAGAAGATGATTTGGATGAACCCGTTTGTCAAAAGTTGTACGGTATATATATATGGCCAAAATCATCTTTTATGCATAAAATAGTAGATGTTAAATCCTCTAGGTTTGTTTCTGTATTTATTTTTTTAATATTCTGAATCTTCTTAGTAAAAATTCTGACTCCGTCACTGTTATCAAGCCTGCTTTGCCTCTATGATTGTTGATGATCTAATGACATTAATGGGTCCTTATTTCTTTTAAATCTTGCAACTTGTTTCCACCTTTTGTTTTTTCCACTTAATCCAAAAAGGTCCATGTCTCCTTAAACTTGACATCAGATCAAAAGAAAAGAAACATAGAAAGAAAGTGTCATACTAATTTTTTTCCATTTATAATTAAACAAAGTGTCATTTGTATAATAACATTAGGTGGAAAGTTCACAGTTAATTATCTTATACTAATTGGAACACTTTTTTACTAACATCCACATATGTAACTTATTCTTCTCCTCCAAATTCTAAGTTCACAATTAAGACATTCTTTGAAAATTAACACTTATGAGTCTAAAATTAATTCTAAATTTTTAAAAATGGGACCCTCAGATTTGGGGACCTAAGGCACAAACCTTACTTGTGATAACAACAGAGCCCGACATGTATTTCGTTTATGATGTTTGTTTATGGTTCAGAAAATGTGACCAGTATTTGATTTATACTGTTTATCTTTTTGAACTAATATTATAAATGAATCTTATACTATCAGATCACATAAAAAAAAAGTAATAATTATTTGTAACTATTCATAAAATCAAGATTAGTAATTTGAAAAATTATGCACGTTACATGCTACAGCAGAGACTAAAATACACCTCTATCAATAAGAAAAAGCAAGAGAATTGAAGATAATTGTTGGTAAAGGTCATCACTAAGAATATGCCAAAGCATTTTATAGGGCAAACTACGTACAACCTAGGAAAAAGTAGACATGAGATGGAGTTGATGCTTTCGAGATACCAGTATGCAGTAGCATACCAATTACACTGCTCCGAAATTAAACCTAGTACGATGAATTAATATACAATGCCAACTGTTGTATGATGTGAAACCAAGTCTACTTATAGCCCGTTTGGCCAAGCTGCAAAAATCAGCTTATTTTGAGAAATGCTTTTTTTCAGAAATACTTTTCTCAAAAGTACTTTTGGTGAGAAGCAGTTTGTGTTTGGTTAATTAGTTTGAAAAGCACTTCTGAGCAGCAATTAGTGTTTGGCCAAGCTTTAAAAAACTGCTTCTAAGTGTATTTTTCTCAAAAGTGCTTCTCAAAAAAGTGCTTTTGGAGAGAAGCTACTTTTTTCTGCTTCTCCACAACTGCTTCTGCTTCTCCTCAAAAGCACTTTTTTTCCTTCCAAAAGCTTGGCCAAACACCTCAATTTTTGGCCAAAAATGCTTTTGGCAAAAAAAAAAAAAACCACTTTTAGGCCAAAAAGAAGCTTGGGCAAACAGGCTATTAATCTAGCTACTGGACAAGTTGTGAATGCACAATTAACAAAAATCATTATTAGTGAATGCATTTTTTTGGCAAAAAAAAAAAAAACACTTTTGGCCAAAAAGAAGCTTGGGCAAACAGGCTATTAATCTAGCTACTGGACAAGTTGTGAATGCACAATTAACAAAAATCATTATTAGTGAATGCATTCTGCAATAAAAATCCTCCCCGGTCCCATTTTAATTGATTTTTTGTCCTTTTTTTGTGGTCCATAATATTTAATTTTTTTCAGATATCAAAAAGGAATTAACTTCTTTTTCCAAAGTGGCCCTTGAAGTAAAGAGCCTAGAAGTATTTGTTATATTTTTTAATGAATAAGTTAAGGTTAATATGGTCAATTTTATTGTTAATAAATATTAAAATACGGATTTCTTAATATGTATAAAAAGAGCCAAAAAAATCAATTAAAGTGGATCGAAGGGAACAATTGTTTAATTTGTTTGAAAGAACTTTGGTATTCATGCGAAAGAAAGAAACAACCGAAAAGGGCCAAAATCTCTGTATTATGGGAAAATGTTTAAATATACCTCCGCCGTAATACTATTGGCTCAAAAATATACCCCTGTCGTAATACTATTGACTCAAATATATCCCTCTTCCATTAAATTTGTCAAAGATGAACATCCAATCTTACTGGTGCTGACATTTTATGAGGTGGATGCCACATAGCATGCCACCTCAGCGCTCCTAACCCATTTTACCTCTCCCTACTATTTTTTTTTTCACCACTAAAATTTACTTCCCCTCTATCATCATTTTCACTATTACCGCCACGTGAAGAATATTGTGTTTCAAATTTTTTCTTTTTAATAGTAAAAGAAAAACAACTGAGCAAACTAATACGATCCATTTTTTTTGCTTTTGAAACATAGCGGAAACTTGCTTTATCTTCTATTGATTACATAGTGCAAGTTTGATTTGCAACAATGGTGCGGTGCGGGTGCGGGTGCGGGGCGGTGCGAGTTTGAACATTAGCGGGACATGGCGGGTTTGAGAGTTTGCGATTGCGATGCGAGACGGGTTAAATTTTTAAATTAAAAAAAATCACGCAGGGCGGGGCGTGTCGTGGGTAGGGGATTTAATTTTTCATGATTGTATTTCTTCGCCGAACATTTGGGGTGGAATTGGGATAAAAACCAGTTTTCTAAAACACATACATAAATTGTGAGCTTTTGCATTCAGACAGTTCATTTTTTCCTTTT